TGAAAATGGTGACTTACGCAAATCTAATGGTAGTGAATTCCACAGTTTAGGGGCGCATACTGAAAAAGCCTTGTCCCCGTAAGTTTTCGTGATTGATTGAGGTTGGTCTAACAGCTGCTTAGATGCGGACTGCAAGACCGTGGAATGCGATTGATAACTCAGTCTGTCCGCCAGATAGCTAGGGGAAAGGTTGTTAAGAGATTTGAAAACTAGCAAAAGAATTTTAAGAAAAGATACGAGTATTATTGTGATTGTTTTAGAAAAAGGTATTTAAATCTATAAAGTCCCGCATTGTCTTTGGTGTCGTGATGAGTCATCACGTACTACTAAAAATAAATACATGTACGCAAAAGCTAAATTTAGCCGTCAAAGTACAGCTAGCTGGTTACCGAATCCACAAAAAGCTCATTTGTCCTGAACATTTCTCCGATAATATAAAACGACGACTTTCCAACAAGATGATCTATTCAAAAGAGAGAATAGTTTTGGGGCAGCCGCGATTTCGTGGAAATTCATAGCAGCTTTCCCGGAAAGCTCCACGGGATCTCAGTCATCTATTTTAAGCGAATATTCTTTTCAACCCAGTGAAATGAGTAGTGTCCTTATTTTTGACCCAAACATTTTTATAAAAATTACATAAACAGACCACAATCTTACTTACTGTCCCCTGTGTCCCCTAGCCTTTTTGTCCCTTCTGTCCCTTGTGTCCCCTGTGTCCCCCAGTGTTACTCTGAGGTACCCTGTGTTCCCTTGTGTTACCCTGTAGAACCCTGTGTTCCCCTGTATTACATTGTGTCCCCTGCATCCCCTTGAGTCCCCTCTGTCCTCTTTTGTCTCGTGTCCCCTGTGCCCCTTGTGTATCCTGTGTCCCCTTGTGTTCCCTCTGTCCCCTTGTGTCCCGTTTCCCCCTGTGTTTATTGTGTCCCCTTGTGCCTCCCTGTGTCCCGTGTTCCCCTGTGTCTCTTGTGACCCCTGGTGTCCTTTTGTGTCCTCTTATGTCTCGTGTCCTCGGTGTCTCTCGTGTCCCCCGTGTCCCTTTTTCCCACGTTTCTCTTGTGTCCCTCGTGTCCCCTGAAATATATGGCTGCGTTGCCCTTGTTTCTCTTATTGCGCAAAATTTTTGATGGGTTTCATTGCTTTCATGTGCCATCCTGCGGGGTTTTTTTCGCACGCCCAGGAGGTCAAAGGATGTGATTTTTCATGAAAATAAAAAATCAAAACACAAAGTCTGCTAGCAAACTTTTCAGTATTATTAAATCTCACCTGCCGTCTGCACACTCGTACGCAGATGATACTCAATTATACTTGTCATTTCGCTCACTAGAGAGTACGTGTGAAGTTGAGGCGCTAGATGCTATGGAGAAATGCATCGCTGATGTTCGTTCATGGATGACTAATGATAAGTTGATGTTGAAGGATGATAAGACTGAGTTTCTGGTGATCGGCACGAGCAAGCAGCTAAAGTGTCTGTTAGCAGAATTTGGGTTGGCAACGTTGATGTAATTCCCATATACTCGGCAAAAAATCTGGGCTCCTGGTTCGACTCGCACATGGATATAGCAAGGCATATAACGAAGACCTGGGGTAGCGCATTCTTTTATCTGTATAATATCCTACACACCTTGCTAGTGAATGTACTGAGAAACTGATTCATGCATTTATAACCGGTAGGTTAGACTATTGCAACAGTCTCCTCTATGGCGTTCCCGACCATCACATGCAAAAACTCCAGCGTGTCATGGATGCCATTGCGCCATTGATCTTCTGCGCACCTAAACACTGTCAAATTACGCCGCTCCTTTAAAAACTTCACTGATTGCCTATCCGCCTACGTATCGAGTTTAAAATCGTTTTGATCACCTTTAAAGTACTCCAAGGTTCAGCGCCTACATATCTCATTGATTTAATTTCTGTTTTACCGCCATTGCGTTATGATTTACGGCGAAATGACAAGGGAATTCTTCTGAGCACCCCAAGCGTTTCACAAAAGTTACCATGGGGGATCGATCCTTCATGGCGGCAGCGCCACGGCTTTGGAACAGTCTCCCCGTAAGCATTAGATCTGCTTGCACCAAAAGTGATTTTAAACAGAAACTTAAGAAATTTTTATTCAGCAAGGCATTTTGTTACTACAATTAGTTTACATTTAGATTTTTATATAGTTTCTCTGCAAATTGCTTTTCTTATAACCAATTGTAAATAGTGTAGTTTTCGTCTTTGATTCCAAGGTGACTGTAAATAGGTTCTTATTTTTGTATTTACTGCAATGTTTGTAATGCGCATTTGATTATTTTTATATAAAATGCGCAATATAAATATTAAATATAGTTATTATTATTATTAGTAACGGCAAAGAAACGTATAAAAGAGGATGATACACGTAAAAAGTTGTTGTTTAAATTTGCTACTAAAACCTAAGCGGTCTTCTTTACCGACGCCATTAGGGAGCTTAACTAAGAAGAAACGACGACGGCGACTGCAACAAGAACGGCAAAAAAACAAGAAGTTTAGATTTAGCAAAATAACAACTTTGCACGTGATCACGCTTGAACATTGATAAAATCCTTTAGAATTCAACTACGCAGAAATTTGCCAACATTTCACTAATTAAACGACTTATGTTGAATAAGCGCGATAAAGTTTGAGGCAGCGCGAATTCACGTTTTAAGTGACGTTTTCGTAGCCGTCGCCGTCGTCGTTGCTTAAGCTTCCTAAAAGAATTGTAGGTAAGACATAATGGCAGGCTATCGTTTCTAGCGCCAACCCTTTGTCGTGCGAGACACAGCACAGATAAAAGCAAATTAACTTTCGTTATTTCTACTCAGTCGGGAAAAGATTGTTCGGGGAGGCCTAGCCTTGCTCAAGATCCTGGTGTAGAACAATTTTCATGTAGACAAAATTCTCAAGTGTACACTTTATTTCTGTAAGAACAAAACAAAAGAAATAGTGTCAAGTAGGTGACTCGACAGAAATTTCCATTTATTCTTTTATGTAGAGGAAAGGGAAGAGCGAGGGCTAGAGTTAAACCAAAAGCTAACCAAATGTTTGAACAAAAGAGGACAAAGTATCTTTCTTCGAGCTCCCACAGATGAGAGCGTCGGGGAAACAGGAATATCACAGCTGCTGTATAAAGCTCACAATCATGGCGGAAGAAGAGGATAGCTAACCAGAAGTTAGTTTATGTCCGGCTAGAAACGGCACATGTTCAGGTGCTCTGCAAACCACCTTAACCGTCAATGCCTTTGATCACACACGATTGGGGATAAATTCAGGTTTCTTAGAAACTGCTCACCTACTCATTCCCTAGGCCAAAATTTTGCCCTAAATGAGAAATAAGTGTTAATATTTGCTTAAGGAAGGGGTAGGTGGGCAGTTTCCCAGAAACCTAAATTGATCCACGATTGGTTGGGAACAAAGGGCAACCACAACCAAAAGCAATGCTGACAATTTGTTTAAACGCAATGGTGGGGAACAATGTTGGGGCAATGAAGGGAGTACTTGCCAATCAACATTTGAGCACTATTTTGTATCGTGGAGACGAAGCCGTAAGGGAGTTGACTTTGTTTTTGGTTCTCGCTCTTGCTCTTAATACGCTACCAAATGAAGTTTAGGAAAAGCAAGAACATTAGGGCCATTTATACGTGGAAAAATAAGACGCGTCTCACATAAGGCTCGTCTTAAATAAGACGCGAACTGTACCGTTTATACGAGCATGTCTTATCTAAGACGAGAACAGTTCGTGTAAAATGGTTCGCGTCTTATTTCTGTTCTTGACTCGTTTTCATGTAAATGTTGTCCATGGCAACGGCAATCCAACATGGCGCGCCAAAAATTAACGCATGCGTACTGTGCGTTCGCGTCTTATGTAACACGCGAAGGTCATTTATACGAAGTTTTTCTCGTCTTAACTAAGACGCGTATTATCTAAGAACAGGTGTTAACGGCTGTTCTAAAATAAGACGCGTCTTAAATAAGACGCGTCTTATTTTAGACGAAATGTGCCGTTTATACGGAAAGTTCGCGTCTTATGTAAGTGGTGTCTTACTTTTCCCCGTATAAATGGCCCTATTGTCATATTGAAACCATACAAAGGCAACGGTATGGTAACCGTGGACAAAACGATTTACGATGACAGCATCATGAACATTATTTCAGATAGTCTCAGACAAACTATAACATACACAAAGTTCGCGCGTGTCTGAGTTTTTTTTTGAAGTTAATGTTTTTTAAGTAAACACGTACCCTCCTTGAGTAATTAGTGTCCTTTTTTCACTGTCATCAGCCTAAAACGAAAAAGTGTACTCTGTAATACTTGACACAAAATTTTGATGAAAATGTGAGAGAAACGGGCCGTAGATGCCAACGGATTAGGGACCTCGATCCTCATCGCTCACAGGCTACTTGGGGGGGGTAGCATAATTCCCTTCATTTCCACATGATTTCGGTCAAGCAGGAGCCCATGACCCGGAGCGAGCGACGTCCATACGTGTACTCGTGTCGCGGCGTTTTCACCGACTGCTTCCTTTTTAGAACGGCTTCGGCGCGAATTAAGAATGTCTTTCAAGCCCTACAAACCAGTCATCAAAACCTGCAGACCTAAAAATGATATCTTTGACCTTTTAATGCCGTTAAGGTTCTCCTTTTGATGTTTTAAGGACAAAATGCGCACATACACGGAGAGCAGAGATTCCACTTTCGAGGGAAAAAGTGAGCTAAAAATAAACCGGTCAGTGAAAACGCCTTGTCATAGGCCTAGTATGAGAGTTGCTCGCTCAAGACAGGAACAATATTAAACAACACCGATTTCTACTCACCTGAATAGACAACCCTAAGCACTTTTTGTGTGGTACAGAAATCACAACCAACACAATGGCTACAACAATGCACAGCGATCCCAAGGCTATCAGGAAATACTCAGCGACTTGCGTTAAAAAGATGCCGCGGTAAACTTTGCGTTTAAACTCCTCTGCTTTTTCGTCACTGATCACCGCAGTCTGCAAGACGAAAATCCCCATACCAGATTGACATGTACACATGAGAAAGAAATCAAGTACTGTAAATGACCTAATAACGCCCGGGGCGTCTATTTAGTTTTAGGGGTCCAAACGGGGGCGTTTAATAGACAGGAGGCGTTTACTTTCATAACTGTTACAAGCTCAACGAAACTAATTGCTTTCGGCAAAAATATCAAGAGAGTTGAAAAAAATAACGGAATATCCACTCCGTCAATTGGAACGTCTAGGAGGCTGTCTAGAGATCCACATCGCTCTTTCAAATCCCAGCATCGATCAGGTCAGAATCCTCGCTCAGGATTATTGTGTTGCCATCGTTAGTCTATCCTTACTGTGAACTTGACATTGTACAAGATGAAATACGCAACCCTGGTTACAACCTCGTCCCCAGGGCTTTTCCCACCCATTTTTTAAGGGAAAAGCCCTGGGGACGAGGTTGCCCTGGTTAATCAAGCCAGAAACTGAATGAACCGAATGACGTTGTTTCTTTTTGCTAATTCGAAGTATTTTATGGTAATTCTCATAGGGATCTGATGAATTGATGAAAACAATGAACTGGTTAAATCAAGTTAAGGCTTTATTTGTTTGTTTGTTTTATATGGCAACTTTATTGCAGTTACGTGTAAATAATCCTCCATGTCCACGAAAACACGTGCAAATTAATTTACACAAAATCGATCAATTTTGGGATACAAACAAACAAGGGGGGGAGGGGGGAGGGGAGTCAGTAACAGGATGAGGTCCCAGCTCACAACGGCCACCATCCATCTGCGTACATTTGAAGACTACGAGTCATCCAATTTAAAAGGAGTAAGTTAATTGACTTAGGCGTATGGTACAGGTTTGATTTTGATGCCCCAATAACATCACGGAATTCACCCTCCCTTATGCATTTATAGGCACAACAACCAGCTAAATCAACAAGCTGAAACAAAATACAACAACATAGCCCTCAAAACCTACCTCACAAGCAAACATGACAGGAAGGAAAACAGGCTTAAATTTGCCTTTTGTTTGACTGCAAATAAAAACAAAAGGATTGACGGTTATATCGTTGCTCAGATAACTAAGAAATTCAAAATAAATTAGCTACAAGCGAAAACTTTTCCGTTACTCACTCTAAAATACTGACAGGTTCCAAAGCCACATTGATCTGGACTCTCTTGGCTACACGCATAACTATTCCTGTTATCTAGAGATAATGACAACAAAAACGCTATATTGTGGTTTGGTTTTATCCTTGGATTTAAAAAATTTTGCATTTCCTTTTATTTCTGGGAATGGTAATGCATGATAATGAGTTTGAAACAAATGAAATTGAACCACAACATATACATCGAGTTCTATGACGTTATAGCTAAGAAAATGTGTCGTATAGCATTTAAAATTGACAGAGGTTTCTACCCTGCGTGGCAGGCGTTGGCAGGTGCCGGTTTGTTTTTTTGGTTAGTCTCTATAAAGCGCGCGAGGAGAACACGTGCGCGCGGCGCGTGTCTTCGAAATTCCTCCCTTCGCCCTCATAAATCCGGCGCCTGAGCATGCTACGTAGCCTAGAGGTTTGAGGTTTCTCCTTACCGGCTCGATATCGGCAAACGTTTCGTGCAGACTTTTTTGAGGGTTTAACCCATGAACTGCTTCTACCAGCGACTTGTTTCCTTGATAAAAATGTGGCGGAGAAAGAGCCACTGGTGGATCTACAAATACGCAGGCACAAATAAAAAATAACATCACTAGCTCAGTTTGATACTCTTTCAAAGCTCTTCATAATTTTCGGTGGTTAACTAATGGCAGCCAGTAAGCCAAAAACTATCATTAACTTGATCTAGTCGTTACTAGACCATTTTACTAAGAGTGGCATATTGAACAAGAAGGCTTACTTTACCAAAGATAGTTCCTGGTCTCTGTTTCGACACTAAACTATAAATACGGAGTGCTGAGGGAACCGTTACCAGAACGAAGATCGAAACTTCAATGGCTACAATTGCAAAGTGCTTAAAGAATTTTACTTTAGTTTGGTATTAAAACAGCTTGATCATTTCTTTTTTAACGTTCCCCAGACGAAAGCCCGAATCTAAGATTTAATGGAATTGGCTGATTGTTCACAAGAATAAGAGTGTGCGTGACCAGTCAACATGACCAGTGAGTGTAGTGAATCTAGGGTGCGTTCCTTTGGGATGATCCAGATCAGGATCAGTGATCCAAGATTACTCGGATCATGGTAGATCAAATGAACCGATGAGTCCTTGTCCAGAGTGGATCAGGTGGATTCATCGGTTCATTTGATCTACCATGATCAGAGTGATCTCGGATCACTGATCCTGATCCGGATCATCTCAAAGCAACGCACCCTAAGTGTTCTAAAGGAAAGAGGCCTTCACTTACTTTGTGGCTGGCAAAGGCTGACATTGAGAAGACCAGTTGGTAAACAGCGAGGAGGAACACAGAATCCTTTGTTGGGAGGATAAATGTCACCACTTAAGTAGAGTTCATCCGGGGCTATGAAGCGATACAGTTTAATTCCCTTGACTGTCACAGTGGATTCATAATTAAAATAAACAGATCTGTTGGAAACCAAAAATTTAAGTATTAGTACTCTGTTATTATTAAGTGCTGCCAAATCAGTGTGGTGGGAAAATACCTGTTAGATTAAGTTGCAAATGGCCTTGGTGGTGAGAATACAAAAGATTTAAAGTTTACAAAATGTTGATCTAATTAAAGAGAATGGATGATAGTTACAACAATCAAAAACGCAAGAAATCGAGTGTCATTAATCCTACAAACATGACACGGAAGTTGTTTGGCAAGGAGTGGATTTTAACCTCCCTTTGTAAAGGAATCCAAGGCAGGGGACTCCGGATTCCAAGTACTGCAATCCAGATTCTTTGTCAGTGGAACGTGGACTCCGGATTCCAAACGGTAGCGGAATTCTGGATTCCAATAGCGTATTCCGGATTCCAAAGCCCAGGATTACGGATTCCAGAAGGCAAACATTACCCAGATGGCGGATTTCTCAAGCAAAAATTTCCGGATTCCGGAATCCGAATTACCTTACATGGGTCGAAACTGTTTGCCCCTATAGGTGTACTGAAGAAAACGATTACCCCCATCCCCCTGCCCCTGATGCTGCCTGCTTGTCAAGTATTATGGGATCCCCAGGGGGCATGAGCACTGATCCGATAAACTCGCAACAGTATTTACGCGCGCTTTTCGGGCCAATTTTTCTTTAAGTTTTCCTAGAAAAAGATGGCAGTGGGAAAAAAGATCGTTGCGCCGTGATGGGATGTAATAATGATCTTTTTGCCCGAAAAGCGCACATAAATACTGAGCGAGTGCCCCATGGGCATCCCATAATACTCCTTAAATCTAATAAATTCAATATGGCCGCCGTATCGGTAAAAAGGTCCATTGGAAAGTAAAGAAATAAGGGGAAAACTCTTAGTCTGCAGCTCCAGTAACAGAAGCACAAAAAGCAATTCAATGGATTCTATGTAAAACTGTTTCTTTTGCTTACTGACTAAGAATTTGACAGTTTTTGATACGCTACATTATTTACCCCCAACTCCCCGCTCCTCATCGGAAAAAGCAATCTTTCACGCTAACTAATCCGACAAGTAGCAAAACAAAAGAGCACTGTGATCACGAGATCTGATGCAACACGGATTGGAAACATTACATACCTACAAATTTCTGGAGAAAATGCATATAGAGTAACATCTTTAGAAAGTCTTGGTGCAAACTGAGTTCCTTCTACAATTAAATCGGCAATGTTGGAAACTTCATTTCAAGAGTCTTTTCCTCCCTTCCCCTGGAGCACCCCGGGAGCACCCCAGGAGTGAGGTTTCAATGCTGGTCAAACTCAACTTAAGTTGGGACGTTTAAGTTGTATTTCGCAAACTTCCACTCCACAGTTTCCCGAACTCGTACCCAGTCGCTATTTAAGTGTTTTTGGGGGTGAGAGAAGATTGGGGATTAAGTTGAGGCGCGCGCGGGGTCTCATGGGAAGGGAAGGAAGAAAAATAGCCCAGTCGCTATTTTTCCTCCTTCCCTTCCCATGAGACCCGGCGCGCGCCTCAACTTAATCCCCAATCTTCTCTCACCCCAAAAAAACACTTAAATAGCGACTGGGTACGAGTCTGACAGTTTCCTGCAATCACGTTCACAAGGCTAGCGGAATTGTTCATCAAATCAGATTTAAAAACATAGCTAAACCACGGTTGTTTTTTAAGAATAACTAAGATCTTCGGCTTCCCACGTGCCTTTTTGGTTTTTTGAAGCTTTTCAATGATTTCCCCTCGTTGCCGTCGCGTCGTTGGATCTTAAAGTCCCTAATAATTTATAAAGTTTCAAGTTTAAAATTAATTAATTTGTTTGCTCCTGTCCAATCCCATATTCCATGATTTTTCTTTTCGTCACATCGGTGTATTCATGCATACTTTTTCACTGTGATTACCAATACGAGCATACGCTATGAGCAGAGGTTTCTCTCTTGTATGGCTTTTAGTGTCTACGACTTCGATCGCTTGGCTTGTAAGTCGCGTAGTTGGTTTGTTAGACTATGAGCAGTCTCTCTTTTTTCTGAAGACGGTCAAGCAAAACGCGAGACACGCAAAGGGTCACGCGTGTGACTGATGGCGCGAGATGCCGCGTGCACTCCCCTAACTAAACCGGATGAAAAAGAGACACTGCTCGCAGTCTATTGGTTTGTTTTATACGCCCTGAATAAAAAAACCAGCTACGCGATTGACAAGTGACGCGAACGACTTGGTGGACGCTAAAAACCATGCAATATGAGAGAAAACTCTGCTAGCAGGGTAAAACGAGAACATGACCTCCTTCTCTTCTCAGTTATCAGCGCTTCAACCAGGTCAATACGGCCAGATTCTTTGGCTCTTCAGCAGTAGCAATAGAAGGGTTTTATCATTTTTACTTTACTTACGAAGGACAAGTACAAGTTAGTGGCCAGTCTATGAAGATCACAGTTTCGTCCGGCGTTCGTTCTGTTTGGGGATGTACCGTAAAACCCTGAAAATAAACCCCTCCAGAGCTAGTTCAGCCCCTTTTGCTATCCTATACTAGAGTAAACTCCCCAAATCCCCCTATCCTCCGTTAAATTTCCCTAGTCTAAATAAAATCTTCAACCAACTGATCAGTTTCCTGAAAATGATACCAAATTCTAAGAAAACAAACGCTCTGATTTATATTTCCTATCCTGGAATAAACTGCTCCAAAACCATACCCTTCAAATTTCACATACCTATATAGCCCATACAAAAATAAGCCCCCCCCCCCCGGTTTAAAAATATAAGTTTCGTCCGGCGTTGGTTCTGTTCGTTTGTATATTTAACTTCTGGCAACCGTCTTCGTCGATTTTTTTCCAGCATGTATGGTATAGCACTTTAAACATGTTTTTCTCAAAAAGCATGGTATAGCACACTAAACATACCTGTGCCATTAATCATGTTTGCATACTTATCGCTCCACCATGTTAAATTGCTAGGAAATAAGAAAGAAGGAAAAAATCAAACTGATCAAAGCCGGTAAAGCCGTCCAAAAGTCATCCCGCCCGAAATCTTTGGTTAGGTATAATGTAAACAAAGAAATAACGTGGAAAAAACAGGGGCACCCAACGACGTTTTCCTCCTACATACATTGAAAACACGTTTTAGGCTATCCACAGTACTTTTAGATCTCTAGAAATGCATTCTAAGCGGCGCTATAAAATTTGCATCTGTTCGGTCATCCTAGGGCAACTTGAGTCTGTTCGAAATTATCAGGGCTCCAGTAGTACTTTCCTGAAAATTTTGGATGCAATTTGACGTTTTACGAAAGTGATAATGTTTCTAATTACTCCCTACATGGCATTTTTGAATCCGAAAATTTTAGGTTTCCTTTTTACTACGAAAATAGCATAACCTGGGAGTAAAATGTGAAAAATTAAACTTCAGAAAATAGTAGCAGATTTATTGGATGAATGGTACGGTCATATAGAAATTTTTAGCCGTCCTCAGATTATAGAAAATTCTAGGCAATATTTGCTTCTCCGAACAGATACTTTACAGAAAATAGTCGTTGGGTGCCCCTGAAAAACCAGTGCGTGAAATATATCTCGTTCTTAAAGCCATGATTAGACGAAAAAAGCTCGATAAAAGCGCAATGTGTCTCGTTCTTTTAAAGCCTTGATGAGACGAAACGAACGCGATAAGTAAGGGATAAAACTCGTTTTTAGGCCTTCGAGGTCGAAGAGCCAGAGCTTCGCTCGTTACTGCAATAGCGGCGATATCGTCGTTCATCCCCATCGTTATACAAACTATTACACAACCATGATAACTCTTCGCGAGAAATAACACGTACTTCGCAAAATCAAAGAGAAGCTACTTTTAATTTGCCCTATCCCTCCCCCTACCACCGGGGCGGGATCGCCTGAAATAATTCCCCATCCCGGGCCCGGAGGGCTGAACTTGTCTCGGGGGTTTCTCGGGGGGTGGTAAGAGGTCAAATAATTATTGAACCATACATATTAATAATTTAGGCAATACAAGTACATGAATAGTTATATATAAATTATCATAATATCCTGATTGAGTTCTCACGTTTGTCCTCTCCACATTGTAAATTGGTCTAGCTTACTGATGAAGTCTTGTCCAGTGTGAACAGCACTTATTCCGTAATATGTGTTATTGTACTAAAAAAGGGAAAAAAATTCGAACCCATGCATAGTCTGTAGCACTAAACATTTGTCTTAGACCAAACTGAGGCCCGAGGGGCCCAAAAAACATTTTGGCAGACTGTCCCCCTCCCCCCCCCCCCCCCCGTTATCTCAGGGTCTGGACGACCGTCTGAATCTGGCACTGATTTGGGATGAGACGGACTGGCTGAGGATGTAGAATCACCAACCGAATGAATGACTTAGATGAATCTTTCAGAACTTATCCAGCCTGGCAAAGTACTGCGAGGTTAGATAACTCACCGAGCTCAAAATTTATCATCTTTCCTTATTTATTACACACGTGACGATTTCCACATTGCCGATCCTAGCAGCATACAGGACGCATGTCCTACATGAACCTTGTGTATGGCCAAGCTCGCTATGAGTCCTTTGTAGCTCAGTGATTAGAGCATCTGACTGTGGATGGAAGGTCATAGGTTCAATTCCTGCTGGGGACTTAGGTTTTTCTCTTTGTCCGCTGGCGTCAAGTTGGTTACATCATTTTTCTCATTTCTACACCAAGCTTAAAATTTACCATTTTTCTTTATTTATCATAAATTAAATCACAACACAAACCTGCAACTGAACAAAGGATGACAATCCCTTTTTGCCTTGGCAACCAAGATGTGGCTTCTTCAGAAAGTCAAGAAATGGGTCGGTGTATCCCCAGAGAATATCAGACACTGTCTTCCTTTGAAACAAATGTACTTTTAGCTTATAAGCTTCACCCTGCACTCCAGGCAAGCACCACAAATGCTTTTCTCTGTGTCTGTAGTCAGAATTTCTTAACCACAAGGCCACACTCTGTAAGAAATAATATGTTCATTGTAAAAATAATGTACCGTAGGTGTAACTTTAATGTCACCTTTTCCAAGCAAAAATTACTCGATATTAACATAAAGGCAGTATGGTTGAATGGACTGTATTGTGAGCTGGTGGACTTGGCAGATGTAGATATAATTAAATTATATCTACATCTGCCAAATTATAAAATACAAAAGTCTGCCAAGATGAGGACCTGGTCCCAGCTGACACTTGGATTCATGTTTCATTTGTAATATTTTTAGTTTGATCAATTTTTACAGTCAAAATTTGCAATGGTTTTAGTTTTTGTTCAGTATTGTTCTTTATGTGCCATACGTCTGAGAGATAAGTGTGACAAGTGTAGGTGGTGTGGTGGAGGTGGTGGGAGGCGGGTGGGGTGACAAACAGCAGGTTGCCATGGTTACACCTTAATTTGTACCCAATGTTTATTGTTTGCTTATTACCTGCATTTCTCACAATTGGCAATGTACATGCAATGTTCTTACATGTACCAATATTTTCTAGACTGGGGTCCACAGAACCCATAGTGATAGAGAAGCTAAAAGAGGGTCATGAGGGAGAAAAGTGGGTCACAATTTTTAGATACAGTTAACTCAACCTTTTTACAGGACGGGTCTGAGTTAGAGTAAATACCTCGTTCTTTCTAAGATAATGATGGGTGTATTCTAAAGACGCCACAATCGATTAATTATTTTTTTAGGAAATGTAACTAGGTATAGATAATTATGTATCTATGTTTACATACGTTTTGTGATGGACCCCCTTGGGATAATATTTAAAACGTATGGTGTTAAATATATGTGACCGAGCCGCGCGAGTAGGGGAGGTAGCGAATGACAACCAATGAAAGACAAAATGCGTACAAAACAAACAAGAATTTAATGGCCAATTAGTGGGAAAGAAATACAATAAAAAACAAATACTAGGAAAACGAATAAAGCAACAAAAAGAGAAAGAAAAGGGGCGATGAAAAGGGCAATAGCGCTAAAAGGAAACAACGACGCTAAAAATTACTACGACAGCTAAACAATACAACTAAGAGAACAAAAGTACACTAAAATGTGAAAAGTAAACAAAACACGCTAGGAAACATCATGCTAGGTCACGAAAGAAGAACAAGCGTGACAAATAGCACGTGACTCCTGTCAAGAGTCATATGATACGAAGACAAGAAAACACAAGCTAAACGAGGTCAAACTGAAAGGTTGTGATCTACGATCTCGCACAAAACGGTGGCAAAACTAAGCAAAACATTACGCTAGAGGAATAACAACGGCTACGAAACTAAAGGACAATGATTTCAGAGCGAAAGTGCTCGATACAACAGCGGAAAACAACAAAACCAAGAAACGATGAAATCTACAACACGAAAGTAATACTACGGTCGCTGGACGTTTCATAAACACGATGACCTCGAAGGAGAACGAAGAACATCCTAGGAAAAACAGCAAAAGGAGAACACTTACTCACTCCAACGAGGGGAGAACTCTACAAAACTATGTCCTACGGCTTGACTAGTGAACGCGGCAACTGGAACTGTAGTAATGCGTAGAAACGCTACGTGCAGGCGTATTTATATCGCGCGGAACACAAACAGCTCGCATCCTGTTATTAGCAATACAATTGGACAACTATAGCTAGGTAAGCCACAAAACGGTGAAATCTTCCTTTTGGCAATACGCCTGTTTGCGAAACACTATTATCGCTTTACCGCAGAATACATACGTGTTCTGTTAATACAATAGTAGGAAACAAATGGAGAGTCTCGCGGTTAACTACAGCAATGGCGGCAAATTAAAGCGAGCTAAAATCAATTAATTTCTTTCCTGTTTATGGGTGTAAAGGCGGAGAAATCACAGAGCTAGATAAAACACGGCTAACCACAAAGCACAACTAAAGAAACGCGTACCGTGGGAAAACGATAAACGGAACCGCAAAAATAATACCGAAAAGAAAATGCTTTGTGAGCTAATTATCGAGCTCGGTTACATATAGTGCGGCATTTCCCTAAAAAGTGCGGTAATGCAGCAACACCGTGGTCTGGTAAGAACACTGCACATATAGAGTCGCTACACCCGCCATTTGAATATTGCTTATTGACTGTGACAATGTTTAACAATTAAATACAAATGATTACATGATTGCATTGCTTATACTGGTATTAAAAATTAATTTTACAATGTATATAAATTATTTTTCAGCAACTTCCTCTAAATTTGTTTAGTGACTTGATATGCATGACAAAGAGAGTAACATGAAAATAGGAAACAAAGAGTTACATTGACTACGTACCAATAGTGGAATGTTGACAGTGAAAAATGAGTCATTCTTGTCATCACAGCCATCACATGATGTTTCTGGATCAAAAATGTATGTTCTATTTGGCATGAATGTTACAACGCTGTGGTCACTGCTCCAGTTGAGTACCTCATTGAACCTCAATTCTCTGAAAAAAAAAAGGTCAATAATATCACATTAACATGTGCATTGTAACTACAACTTCAGTGGATCAATTACCTTCTTCTTAAAAATAATGTCCATGCATATTAAATGCTATATTAATTGCTGCTGCTTTTTTGCTCTCTTAATATTATTGTTGCTTGATTTTCAATGCACATTTTCCTATGAAAAGGGTTACAAACTTCTACATTGTAGTTCTTAATAACACATGTTTCCATCTAACATTAGTTGGTTTTTAATAAAGAGAGGGAAAAACAGGAGCTAGAGCCTGAAAAAAATACCCTCTGATCAGAGTAAGGGAGAGAACGAACAACAAACTTAACCCACATATGTCGTCGATGACAGAATTTGAACCCAAGCCAATACTGGTTGGAGGCAAGTGGTGCTGAAGACATTTTGATGGCTTCGGAACATTTCTAGAAAATCCCAAATCTTGGCACCACCTGGCCATTTTTCTCGTGTGGGGTGATTTTCATGCGTGCTCGTGTTTCGCTCACTCTACTATCCCTGAGGAAAAATGGGAGACTACTCGTAGTCTAGTCTTGTGGTGTGATACCCTTAATTTGGTCATTTTTCAAGTTAATGGTGAAGGAACATTAATACTGTAGTCCAGAATAGTGAGTAATGACTGAACAATGTAAATTGTCCTGTATGGGTATGATCAAAAATTGTTTGGTCCACAGGCGTGCAGGGTGGTCAAAAGTAGCCGGCTGCCGTCAAATATCGCCGCCTACTCAGTTAGTATCGGCCGACTACTCTGCTTGGCATTTCTTTATGGATGGCATTGTTTTAAAAAAATATCCCTGGACTGGCCGCTTACTTTGACAACTCAGTCGTCTACTTCAAAACTTTCTGACAACCCTGGGCGTGTGACACATAATAATAATCTTTACTGAGATGACTTTTTCATATAAAATATGGTTTTCAAAAAGGACCCCACGAAATTAAAAAAAAAAATACAAAATACAAAATACACACAATTCACAAAGACATTAAAAAGCTAAAATATGTTAAAAACTATTAAAATGTACAAGATATTAACTCAAATTCATTTAAACTACAAATTTAAAAAGATTACGTTTAAAAATAATCAGATTCATGGATTGTCTGATTGCCTGGCTAAGGGAGTCAAAATCCTTGATGGCATGAAATTCACACATGCATGTAGTGTGCGAGTTGGCAGGTATATTATCTTACATTTACATGTAATTGCATTTCTTGCTAATTTGTTGCATAGGCAAACTTATGGCACATTAAAGGGAAAATGCATCGATAACCGAAGTCACCTGCATTGATGCTTTTCCTGATCCAGGCACCCAAGCATTATACTTGCCAAGTGTCACGCCTGCGGGTTGAAAACTATGATCTCACGCCTACTCAGGCCTGTGTTCCAATTTCTTATGCCTGGTAAAAATGTTCGAGCTACTGCAGCATTAACTGTCTCATTTTGAACCCCGGCACTTTCAGGATAAAAATGTCACGTCTATAAAATTAAAAAAAGTTGGCAGCTGGTGCATGTAACTGCACATTCTATGGATGTTAAGTTAGTCATTGCAATTTCATGCTGTCTATGTTTTCATTTCCTTTTTCATTACCAGTATGAGTAGGGTCCTATCTGTGTTACATTGGGAATAGCTCCATCCATTACTTCATCATAATTTGTAACATTAAACACATAGTACTTCATGTAAATAGGAGTTGAGACGTTTTTCCATTCTTCATACACAAAACTGCCAGGTTTTAATTCCACATTCTAAAACAGTGAATAAATATTAGCAACTAATATCAACATGAAGAAAATTAAGGTTACTTTAGTTCACATAGTACCTATACAATTATATATTATGTTTGCTAAACCTCATTCCCAGGGCTACCTGTCTTTTGCTTGACGAGGTTGTCCATTTTTTGGTCCATTTTTTTTTTCGCTGTTATCCGTTTTTTTTGTGTTTTAAGGCTGCTGAATGTAAAGTGCATGACATGACATATTGCTGCCTACATTCATAAAAGCAGGGCTCTAACAAAATATTCATGTTTCCAATAAAGCTGCCTAGCGGAAATCCTGAAATACAAAAACTAATGGCAAAACATGTATTTGAATGCTTTGAAAAAAGAAAAGGGGAAGACGGCAAAAAAGTAAATACTCTGACTTAATTAATTAATGATTTATTTATAGCCATATATGGTTGGGAATTTTTGTTGTTTGTAATTTTAGTTATACATGTTATACACATTTTTATTTGGGGTCTTATACAATAAATAGTATATCAACTATTTCCAAATAACCAAAATTACAAACAACAAAAATTTTAAACGATATTTTCCCCAATTAAATCTTTGCCGCTATTTCTTTCATAGTTTGGTGGGCATATATAAATAAATAAACTGTTCATAGGTATACAGTTGACTCCTGATAACTGGAACCTTCAAGGGAAATTGAAAACAGTTTGAGTTATCAGGAGCTCGAAGAAAATAGCTGGGAGTAAGGAAAATAACAGTTTTTACTGCACAGTGAACATTTTAAACGCATTCAATCGTAGAAATGTCTGAGAAAAAATTAAAAGATACTTTAGTTCTGGATCATAAATCAGAATGTAACGCAACAAAACATAGCCTAAATAGTGCACGCATTTCACTGTTTTGAGAAGTAAAGCTGTTTCACGTTGGATTGTCACAAACAACATCAGCCTCCACTAGTAAACTATATGCCTACAACACGTCAATTGGAAATTCAAAATTCAATGCTTCGGATGCCAGTAGACTGTATTTTCCCGACTTTTTAAGGGCCCACAACATGGTTCAAGTTATCGAGGGTAAAATTATATAGAAATGATCTGAGGGGAAACAACAACTACTTTGAGTTAGCGCGAGATTCGAATTATCGAGGGTTCGAGTTACCAAGGGTAAATGTATGACGGAAATCCAGGGGAAATCAATTCGAGCTAGTGAGGGTTTGAGTTATCGGGAGTGACAACTGCATATCCTTTAGAAAGTTGAAGTAAGTTTTATCAAGTTTACACCATATTATGATTTTGTTTTCAGACAGAATGTCGGTGACTCCTTTAGCGAGTTTTTTATTTTTATATACGGCTAGACCCCACCCAAAAATTCCTAAAGTACCCCCCTTCCCCTTTTAGCGGACATGCCAACAATAATACCTCCGTATAATACCCACTTCCCACCCCTCCACCTACCCTAATATTGATGATCTGATGGCGGTATACCCTGCCAGCAGAGGCCCTTCGATCTTCCTAGATATAAAGTCCCTTCCTATTTCCGACTTATCTAGGAAGATCGAAGGGCCTCTTCTGACCGTCTCTTCTCGCAGGGTAATGGGGGTAATGTACACTGAAAAGTTTAGCACTAACATACTCTTGATTACAACCTGCTTTACCGGTATTTACCTTATCCACTTGTTGATTGATGATGTTAGAGAAGACTCCACCGACACTGAAGACTAATCCGGAAACTAGGAACACTACTCCACAAACAGCAAAACAAATGATCCAGATTGTCCTACTACAACAACAGGATCCCTTCGATGTCTCAGAGGGCATTGTAAATTATGTAAGCATATGTAGTAATAAGTATGTAGAACCAAATCTGTATGCAAGAAGCGTGTTTGAGCAAGGGTTCTGAACAGTGACGGCACACTTCTAAGCGTGAAAGAAAGTGGAAGTGTTTCGCTCTGAATTGACGAACGCCCGTTGGCAGTCAGCGGACTCTACTGATGGGCATTAGAGACTTCAAATTTGATTACTATAGTGTATCTTGTAAGCATCATGGCGGCGATGACGGCTGGTTCTTGTCAACTTAAGGCACGAAAAGAAGCCCTAAATGACCTTGAGAGAGCTCTTCACAAATTTCCACCTTTACTTGAAAGGACCTTCATCAGTTGCAAGAGCGAAGAGAAAGTTTCTGATGGAAAAACTTCAGAATTCCGTGTGATGCAGTGGAATGTCCTTGCTGATGGTTCGTACAGTAAAGTACATGTATAATTAATTAAAACCTTTTACAGGATGCACACCACTTTCTGTATTCAGAAGACTAAATTCCACCTTATCGCAGAGCGCTTGCCACAACGATCGGCCACACTCCTTGTGGCTGAAAAGGTCCCATTAGGAAAGAAAATTGTTAGTGAAAAATAATGTTCACCTTACAGCCCGTAAAGACTAAAAGTTCTAGAGGCGTTGCAGTCTCTATCCACAGCCTGACTATAGGCTTGAATCTGAGTCCTCAAATTTTTGAAAATTATCTGAGAAGTGTATTGTTTATCGGAAATTTTGAATAAATAGTCGGAAGGTTCCTATACCTGCTATCTTTTCTGAGATGACCGGGATTGCAGAAAACGTCCCAGCGACTTTCGAAGATTTCCGGCGATTTTCCGAAGGCTTACGAACGTTGCCGAAAATGTCTGAAGCTTTTGAGCATTTTCGAAGCTATTTAAAAGACAACAATTTAAACATGTTTTGATTTCGTTAGGACACGAAGTCATCATTCAGCACCTTTTTCGGAATGTTTTTGTGGAAATTGAATTGAATTTCCGTTAGAACGATTCATCTGGATTTGTGAGCAGGCTTGGAAGTTGTTCTTGATGCATGAGATCGATGTCTTTGTTCAATAGGTGGAGACTCACACAAAAAGTGTGAGAGTGACAGGTTAAGGTTCCAAATTGTGTCAGCTTTTGTGAAAAAAAGACCTCAACCCCCCCCCATTCAAAAATCTGTCATCCTTGAGGGTGGAGGGAGGGGGTGAGGGTACAAAATGGAATGTCCTTCAAGTTATTTAAAGATCGGCTGTAGTACACCTAGCTAAAGTTCATCAAAGGCTGGGTTTTACAGAGTGTCAGGTCTTGTTTTTGTCTTTTCAGATTTTATAGCACAGTAGACAGCGCAGAGTATTGTGGAGATTGACTTTTCTTTAAATTTAGTTAATGGTGTAAAAAATTTACCTTATTTTCCCTGACCCCACCCCCTTGCCCCTCACTAATAGTGAGCTTA